ATGCTGGCCAATGGAAAGATTCTGTACCACAGATGTCATGCTCAGGTGGTAAAGGCAGGTTTTGCAGGGGGCAGGAATCCTTCTTTTATTCCAAATTCTCTTGTCTCTCTCTTGTGGGTGTTCGAACTTTTCCGGGAGGTTGGTCTTTTTCCCAGAGTTTGGCAAGCTACATGGATTTTGTCAGTTTGGCGAAATTGGTGAAATTTGTGAGCTCGGGGAAACTCGCGGATTCCGCTGTCACTGCTTAGGAACTGGCTGCGAATCAGTCATTGGGCAGTGAGAAAATTATATTGTATATAGTTTGTTGTGTGTATTCATTATTATTATTATTAGCATTAGTATTGGTATTATTGTTTCCATTGTTGTCGTATTAATGTGTCTTTATCTCATCCCACGAGTTTTCCCTTGTGTCCGTTTCTCCTGCCCGTCAAGGGGAGGAGTGAGCGAGCGGCTGCCTGGTGCTTAGTTGCTGGCTGATGGGTTAAACGACAATGGGTGGTATCTCTTTTTCTTTGCGGAGCAATGGATTTTTTTTTTAAGCTGTACACTAAAGAAAAAGAAATCTTCCCTGCTAGCAAAACTGTGCTGTAGGAAAGATGAAAAACAGGCAACAGAAACATGGCATATTTATGAGAAGGGAGATTTGTGTGTGAGCAGTGATACACAAACCACCAAGCAGATTTTGAAGACAGGCTAAGCGCTGAGCGTCAGAGGTGGCTCAGCTGATACTGAAATGGTGGTGAAGAGATCCATCTGGGTGACAGTTCGTAGCTGGATGGAGCCGTTGTTATTACTTCCACTTCTATTTTATTCTGATGCATGACTTCCATGTTAATATAAGAACTCTCTGTTCAGCTTTTCTGAGAGTCCTCGTTTAGGTTACTGAGAAGAAGAAGAAGTAAGCAAGCCAGACTTCAAGCAGTTTGCAGTGTCTTTGTTTGCTACGTCTTTCAGGCCAATTTCACCAGCCGCTCGGGAATATGCCTTTGTGCATATGGTCTGCCTTTCTGCAGTCCCTTTGTTGCCACAGTGGTGTGGCTTTCAATCCTGAGGCCAGACCTGAAGGCTCTTCCTGAGGACTAACGTGCTCCAGTGGCTCCTGTAGACATGTCCCCGAGTCTCCTTTGTTGGATGGAGACTGCAGCTGTGAATTGGAGGGTTTGGTAAAGGCGTATTTGGAAGGAGTCAGGCCGTGGGTGTCTCAAGACCGGATCCAGGCTGCCCAATTGTGACTGAAGTTGTGTCAGTTGCTCCTGACTGTGTCTGAAGTAAGCAGAAGTTAGGCCAAATTTGCGGGTAACACAGATGCATCCTTAAAACCTCCCGTGCGAAGGTAAATTGGTCACTGCTGCTTTTAGGGCCATTAGCTAATGAAAAGGCACCAAAGGCTGTAGTCAGTGGGAATAATATAATGGGGCCTTGTTCAGTCTATTTTGAGTCCCCCGAAGAGGATGGAGTGTGCACAGCCTCTCTGGACACCTGTTCCATGTCTTTAGCACTCTCATGGTGACAGTCTTTTCCTTTTAGCTAGCTGGGATTTGTCCATCTTCCTGCATGGGCCTTGTGTCTCTCGTCCTTACACCACGGGGCACCTCGGAGAAGAGTTAGGCTTCAGTTCCTTGTCCCCTCCCAGCAGGCAGCTGTAGTCACCACTCAGAGCCAGCCCCGAGCCTTCCCTTCTCCCAGCCACACAGCGGCACCTCCCTGAGCCTGCCCTCGTGTGCCTTGTGCCCTGGCCCCTTGCCATCTCAGAGGCGCTGGGCTGGGGCTGCACCGTGAGTGTCAGTGTCTTCCCTGTCCTGGGAGACCAGAATGGGACACGGGAGTCCGCATGACCCCTCAAAAGTGCCAAGTAAGTGAGGGGGAGCATTTTTTGGTTTTTGAAATTGCTTTTTCTTGGTTTTTTTTTTAATTGGGTTTTATTGATTTTTCTTGATTTTTTTTTAATTGTTTATTGGCCAGTCTTGCCAGAACTTCTTCCCATCAGAACTGAAGTCTTCTCCAGAGGAAGAGCTCTCCCTCGATCTTCTCTGATGCTCTGCTGCCATTGTCTGCACACTGCCAGGGTGGGTCTGGCTTCATCTTCACCCACCCATTCAGTAGCTGAGGCAAGAGCTAGCTGAGGACAGCTACCCCCCACTGGCTTTCTCATCCTAAGACTGAGAAAATGCCACGTCCAGGCTGCAAGAACCTCAGTTGTCCTCCAGTGGTCTCCAACAGGCCCCTATGGACTCTAACATTCTCCAGCAGGCTCCAACTTGCTCCAGCAGACACCAGCGGACACCAACATGCTCCAAAAGACAAGGCTCCAGTGGTCTCCAGTTGGCTTCAGTGGGCTCCAAAGGACTCCTCCTGGTGCCATGGCGCAGCCAGCCAGAAGATGTGAGTCCCGCTCCTCACTTCTTCCTCAGCGCTCAGAGCAGAGGAAACAGCCCGCCTTCAAAAGGAGTACGGGGTAGGAAAGCAGGGCTCATATTTGTCTGCATAAGTAAAGAGTGGCCAGGTGATGTTGGTGTTGAGCCTGCAGGATGGCTTCCTCTTCCGGCCAGCGTTGTCTGTGGGAGTGGAGCTGCTTGATGATACCTAGCTTGCTGGTAGACACCAGAGAGCCCCCAGCAATTCTGTGCCGCTTTGGGCACCACGGGACTGGAGGAACCCCAGGCACAGTGGTGCAGTTCCCAGTCAGACCTGCTGGAGGTGGATCCACCTCCATTGGCTCTTCGTCCTGTGGAGGTCGATCCACCTCCGTGGACCCTACACCATTCAGTGGTGGGTTGACCTCCACAGGTTTGGCAGAATCGCTGAGGTGAGTGCCAGCAACTGGTTGCCTGCTGGAGGTGGTCTTCCTGCCCTCAGCCTGCTTCCTTTTTTAGGCTGGGGACACATGGTCAATGGTTCAAAGAACTGTCATTGTCTGATCCCGCTCGCCCTGCTTTACTGGGTCCTGCTACGTCTGAGCACGCTTGTGTCAGAATCACTTGCTGCTCAGCGAGTTGTGGGCTAGCCACAGGGGTGTCTGCTTTTTTAGGGCCCCAGCACAGAAGGTGGTGAGGTGCTGGTGACATCAGGAGTTCTGCTGCTGTGGCTGAGACAGTGGCTCATGAGTGGAGGCCCATAATGGTGGCCCAAACATGGCTGAGTTGAGCGGGGGGGGGCTATGTAGTCTCACAAGTGCCAAATGAGAGAGGAGAGCTTAGGAGAGCTTTCTTTCATTTAAATTGTTTTTTGCTGGTTTTTTTTTTAATTGGGTTTTATTCATTTTTTATTGCTTCTTCAATTCTTTATTGTCTAATCTTGCAAAAACTTCTTCCCATGAGAACTGAAGTCTTCTTAATTGCTGTTTATCCTTTGTTGGGGTTGATGTAGCTTGAGAGTTAGCATGACTAGGCCGCTTAAGCAAAACAGTTAGCATAACTGAACAGGCTGCTGGAAAGGGCAGTTATCATAACAATTGAGAAAATTCTGATAGTGCACATGAGGTGGGTTAGCAAAAACAAGATGTGTTCAAGGACGTGGAGGCAGTCTGTTGCTATTGGCGTTAGTGCATAGTTACCAATCATAAGGGAATGTGGGGTGCGTGAACAGCGCGTGATTTATGTCTTTAGCCTATCCGAATAAGCGTGATCGCGTGTGCAGATATGAAAAATGTGTATAACCACGCATGCAGAGCAATAAATCGAATCGACTGTGCATCGCATCAATGTGTGAGAGTCATTCCTGTCCCTGCACGGATGCTGAAACTCGGCAATCCTTGTGTGCTTGACAAGTAGAACGCCTGTGTTTCGATCACGCAGGCCTGCGACAGACTTGGAGGCACCCTGTCGAACATCCTTGAGATTTCTGCACTGCTGTGGGAAGGATCAAAGCACGGTGGCAAGCTCTGCCTGCGCGAATCCCTGAGAAACAGCGCAACCAGCAGGGTCGGCGACCGTCAAGCATGGGCCGAGCCCAGCGGTGCCCGCGTCCCCGCTCCTGTGCCTCTGCCCAGGCGCTGCTTCGGGGACCCCCCGGCTGCAGAGGTGATGAAGATAAATTTACTCTTTGCCTTTCACCCGTGGTTGCGTGGATGTTCCTGCACCCAGCCCATGCTGACTTATGGTCGTGGTGACTACCCCTCTTCATACACCCTCCGCTCAAGGGAGATGCGCCAGCCCAGCCGCCTCGTGGCACGCCAAGTCCGGCGTTACATCGTTAGGTCGCGTTTCACTTCAGGGCAGCAAAGCCCAAGCATTCAGAGCTCCCTGGGAACCGAGCACGTTTCGGGAACCGAGCTCGCAGCCCTGCACTGCCAGCAGCCATCCGTCCATCCGTCCGTCCCTCGGTGGGAAGGCACGATCGCATCTGGAGGCCGCACCACCCTCCTCGGCTGGGGACAGCATTTGTTCGGGCTCGGTTCTTCTGGAGCCTGCCCAGGCACAAAATGCGCTGTGGCTCCGGGAGCTGGAACACCAGTTTTATTTGCCTCCTTAGCGTTGAGCAAGGAACGCGTGTTCGGACCGGCGGTGGCCAAAAAAGGGCTTCCAGAAATGCTCCTTGCGACAGCCCTGCTGCCAGTTAACGAGCAGACCTAGGGGCAAGTAAAAACCAGCCCCGAGCAGGGGTGCGACAGTCCCCGGGAACAGGCGGCTGGCTTGAAGGGTACGCGGACACCCCGGGGCCGCCGGGCTGTGCGGTACCGGTTGGACCGGCTGGGGGAGAGGGGAGGGTTTAAAAAAAGTCTTTTTTTCTTTAAATGGCGGCCGGCACGCGCCTTCCCGGGAGTTACTGCG